CGCGCGCGCGTGCGTCTCTCTCTCTCTCTCTCTCTCTCTCTCTCTCTCTCTCTGTGTGTGTGTGCGTGCGTGCGTGCGTGCGTGCGTGCGTGCGTGCGTGCGTGCGTGTGTGTATATGCACTGGATGCAAACGTACATGCATGCGTGTGCGTGCGTATGAGAGCGACTGGGTGAGCGAGAGCGAGAGAGAGAGAGAGAGAGGGGGGCATGATAGAGAGAAAAGCGAGAGAGAGAGAGCGAGCGAGAGAGAGAGCGATGAGGGAGTGCACATGGGACACCCAAGAGGAGATAGAGTGAGAGAGTGACAAGGGGGAGGGGCAGAAATAAATAAAGAGAGCAAGAGAGAAGGGAAGAAAGTGAGAAAGAAAAACGAGAGTGAAGTGGATGGAAAGAGGTAAGGGCGGAGAGAAAGAAAGAGGGGAGAGAAAGAGAGGAAAGGGTGAAATAAAATGAGGTAGGAAGGGGAGAGAAAGAGAGGGATGGGTGAAATAAAATGAGGTAGGAAGGGGAGAGAAAGAGAGGGAAGGGTGAAATAAAATGAGGTAGGAAGGGGAGAGAAAACGGTGTTTTGTAAATTCAATCCTGTACCCTATAACGCACTGTGCTTTAAAATACACACGAATTTTCTTTAGAAATTATGGTAAAAAATCACACATGTAATATGTGATGTTGCTTTATTCCCAACGTTCATACGCCTGAAGCAGAAACAACATGATTGATATTGATTTTTGCTAGAATGAAGTTGGTCCCTATTATTGATTAATAAATGCTCCATGTAATACATTGCCAATACATTGTAAAACAGAATAAGTTAAATCATACTTGTAATCGCAGTCATCCGGGCATGATTATGAACCGACTTTCCTGCGAGGTGGCAAAATTACTATTAATGGGAACCCTGTGTTACGATGCATCTACTAATACTAATAGAGTACATGATGACATAGCATACAGTCAGGTATGCACGCAGACAGGCACAGGCTGGTGCATTGTGTTTTCAGGCCATCTCTGTGTGTCGAAATGCAAGTTTCACAGTAGGCCTATGTCCCTGGTGTAGTACGGCGTTTTAGCGTTGAGATAGACACATAGGGAATTTAGCACACTAGTAATGCAAATGTTCGGAGACCCGACCGGCGATGGACCCAGAGTACATTAGCTACATGATTAAGAGCATACATAATTCAGCGTGGACAGAATACATTTTAGAATGGTACGAACACATTAACTTCAACAAGAATGCGACGCGGTTTATCAAACGGCCATCATTAAGCAGGCAACGTCAACGGTGGTCGACGATCCTACCTGGTACCATCGGACATTAGTCGCGACCGGTCATTGTATCTATTACCCGCGTCATATCCGCGTCATATGACGGATTATCACCTCTCGCCACGTAGTGTTAAGCGAGATGGGAACTTGTGGCTACGTATGTGCATGCTTAATTGTGTGAGGGGTCGAAAGGTGGAGAACACAAAGTGGGAGAGGAGACAGACAGGAACACAGAGACAGACAGACAGGCACACAGACAGACGGCGCGCACGCACGAGAGCGCACGCACGCACGCACGCACGCACACACACACACACGCACACGCACACGCACACGCACAC